TAGGCCTAACATAGGCCAACATAGGCCCAACATAGGCTCAACATGGGCCCACGATGTGCCCAACATACACCACATGGGCCCCACTTGGCCCAACCTAGGGCCAAGATGCGCACCAGATAGCTTAACTTTGCTCAATATAGGCCCCACCAAGGCCAACATAGGCGTGACATACGCCCCACACACCCAAGTGGGCCGGCGCCCGGCTGTTAGGCGTAAGCCTTGAAATAAAGAGATCATGAGCAAAAGAACACCAGAAGCAACCAACTGGACTGTGGGATGCAAGAAATTGGACTTGTCTGACGTGTGCTAACTTGGAAGACTGCATTCTCATCTTCGTCTGAACCGGACCTTCCAAAAGCCCTGCTTAAACTTTAAACGGAGCATGCCTTCCTGCACAAAGCACTGACGATCACGGTACTGAACAAAAACATTGATCAACTGGTTTGGGTCAAGAGATTGGAAGCGCTACTGCAAACAGGAGGGGGGATTCAAACATGATACTGGTTGGATTAAATGGGTTCCTACGGTGCTGGCATAGTCTCATTCAAAACAAGTTCTCCTGCAGCATGCTATCCGGAAACCAAACCAAATCTTGACGAGATAGTGAATGAATAGTGAGGAAAAACACAACGTCGCACTGATTTGGCTGTGTACAAAACAGCGACTATGCGACTACAGATTCCATCGTCCGCCCACGTCGCTCGATTCGTTCAATCGCCTGCTGCCAATTGGGCAGGTTCGTCATCACCTGATCAGATCACAGCGCCGTGCGTGGCGTGTGACATGTTCCCAAAGAAATAGCGTTATGCTCCGCAGCTAGGGAACCAATCTCACAAGGCCAGTTGACAAAATGCCAACATGCGGGTTTCTTGCTCTTAAAGTTAGACAAATGAACGCTGAGCCCGATCTGTCAATTTCCCATTGTTAGATTTGATGCTACCTGGTGTCCATTCTTCCAGAACATTTTGCAAACACTCCCAAGCTGAACCTTTTCAATGAATGACACCAAGCAGGGGGTGCTCATTGTATGCGTAACTGGTTTTCTGTGATAAATGATTCCATCGATTGCACACCCAGTTCTATAGCACGATACCAAGTTGATTGGCCGCCTGACCCGCCAGCTTATGCCCTCAACTCTAAACGTATCAAAGCGAACTGTCACAGGAACATTTCTTAAGTTGTGATTTGCACATGGCTTGACCTGATTTGGGTACAAAACAAATGGCCGATGGCCCTTTTCGCAAAGCGGCTCTTCAATGGATCAGCTCGGTGGTACTTGAGTGTGTGAAAGGCCATCTGCAGCATTCTGGATTCTGGCTATCGCCAGTGCCAGTGCTCTCTTGATACCCGTGCCACCATGCAGTGCAAACACTACAATCTCCACTACGTGAGCAATCAGCTACACCTTGATTCAATTTGTGTCAAGTTCTCTACACAGTCCAAACCATTGAACATCAGAGACAATAAACGGGGGGAGGTAGTGAAAGGTCCTGAAACACCCAGAGCCACCAGGCACAGAAGGCACAACAGCCTAGCTAGCAGCTAGCTTTTCTGCGCAGCACCGTGCTTGAACCCTTCGAGTCCGATCTCTGAGATGATTGGCTTGGTCCAAACAACCCCCGCCCAGGCGCTACATGCACGGTCAGGAGGTTCGGCGTGACCTGGTGTTCTCTGTGAGCATTGGAATCCACAACACATGAACCGGTCCACCTGTCCTCTGCCTAATCCGGGCTGGCAGGGACGTCTCACTGGCAGGGAATTGCCATTTCATCAGGTTTTCATGGTGAGTGGACAACCCTCAGTCCACACCAAGCCGGTATTTTGTTATATACTTTTATATATGTTGAACCCACATTTGAGATAAACAACCTTCATCAGCAAAGCAAAGTTGCTAGAATTTCTTGATTGAATCACAAGCAGGAACACCCACAATAGCACAACGAAAAGAACATTAACCAACCGCCTCCCCCAAGCCCCCCCTAATTTCTCAATTCCTTTGCCCAAAAGAGTTTTTCGTAATGGATTTTCGGATCGTGGATCCACTGCAGATATTGGGCATCACTACAGACTGTTGACCAGAGTCACCCACCCTAAAAAAAGGATGGAGATTTTCCGGACTTTTCAATTTTTCCAGATTTTTTCACATTTTTTCCCCTACTGTTTTTGCTTTTGCTTTTTGCTTTGGCTTCTGCTGGGAGTGCAAGGGCAGGGGACGAAGCGCCAAAGCCAGCGTGATGGAGAGTGAGAAAGGGACGGAAACTTTTTGCTTTGGCTTCTGCTGGGAGTGCTTTCCAAGCACTAGGAGCAGCAGAAAGGGACAGAAAGGGAGGGGACAGAAAAGGTATCCCACTCACTATACGGACTTCTTTGCGGTTGTCTTTGGGCTTCACTGGTTTCGGGTTTCTTTGCCACATCCTGCTCTAAATTTTACCCTCCAGTGGCTCACCAACGGGTGAGCCAACTTGGGAGGGCAACATCCTTCTCTAAATTTTACCCCTGCATGGCCCACAAAAGGG